CGAAACCCTCACTAGGCCACAAACATTCTATCATTCTTAAATGAGGTATATCATCTATATTTAAAGGAAAATTTACAGGACTCTTATCCAGAGAATGAGTAATTTAAATTCTGGCCATCTTGCCTTTTCCATTTCAGGTGTTTGTGCGGGTGGTTGTGCTGCTATTGTGGATTCTGGAACATCTCTTCTTGCTGGTCCAACAGTATGTTCTATCCTCTTTATTTTACTCATCTGATTCCTGTAAGAATTTTGGACTGTTGGACTTTCTCTTTATTTCAAACAATACTTGAAAATTACTTTTAACAAATCAACTCCAGACTGTCGTGACACAAATCAACCATGCCATTGGAGCGGAAGGAGTAGTTAGCATGGAATGTAAAACTATCGTTTCCCAGTATGGAGAGATGATCTGGAATTTACTAGTATCAGGGGTATGTTCTCTTTCCCTCTTATTCTTAATTTCACATTTCAATGTGCATAAGATGTTATTGTAATTTGCAGGTGAAACCTGATCAAGTTTGTTCACAAGCAGGTCTATGTTATTTTAGTGGAGCTCAACATGTCAGGTATCACCTCCCCTTTGTTTTTATTTGCTCTTCTTGTGACACCGCACTTGACTTGACGTGTCATTGAAGCTCATATCATTGAGGAGTCCTTAGCAAAGTTGTTTAGGAGATAAAATTACTTCCCATATTTGAAAGTTGCTGTTATTGCTTCGAATCCAAAAGAAGAAAAAGAGTACTGCGAAATTGTTGCAGATGCCAATTTAACAAGAGATTTCAGAGTTCTTGAATTATTTATTGAGGCACTCAATGTCTTGTCTGATTTCCACATTGTCTCTGTTCAATTTTTTGAATACTGTACAATATCTGTTTGGCCTGAAAGGTGGCACTTGCGGCTCTTTGTATTTGCAATCCAACAGGATTATCTTCTTTAGTACAATCAGTATAAAGTTTTGAGAATGCTGTTTTACTGTTTAGGCTCCATATTAACTGTTTAGTCTTTTAGTTGCTATGTCAAATGTGATTTCACTAATTTTTTTTAACCAAATTCCTTGCAGCTCTAATATCAGATCTGTAGTTGAAAGGGAAACTGAAGGAAGTTCTGTTGGTGAAGCACCATTGTGCACTGCCTGTGAGATGGCAGTTGTTTGGATGCAGAACCAGCTCAAACAGAAGGAAACAAAGGAGAGAGTACTAGAATATGTGAATCAGGTAAATGTCACAACTTAATCTGCTGTTAGAAACCAATAAGTAGTACATCACATCATCCTAATATCAAAGCTTTGGCGTTATACAGCTTTGTGAGAAATTGCCAAGTCCAATGGGAGAATCTGTAATCGACTGCAGTATGATCTCAGCCATGCCAAATATTACATTCACTATTAAAGATAAAGCTTATGTGCTCACTCCAGAACAGGTTGCATTCCTTTTGCTTTCAGTTTATGTTCTTACATTGAGTACTCGAGTACATCAACATGCACATCTGTGGTATCCAACCTAAATATTACACCCCATTTTAGTCATGAGTTTCAGTGAATTCGAAAGCAACTAGAGAATTGAAGTTCTGGCCTATCAAAACACACTCACACACATATCAAAAAAAAAAAAGAAAAAAGCACCAATTTGCTTAAATGCTACTAGTAATTATACCCTCAACTCTGAAGATACAAAAAAGAAATATTCTAATATGATGATGGATATGCTAGCAATAACACGTTGGAATATGAGTCAAAGAGAGTTGAAAATGTAACGGAATGCTTCAGAGAACAAGATTGCAAATAGGAGAGAAACAAGAACCTGTATTTTTGTTTTACCGGAATAAGACAATTGGGTTCATCCCAAAAGCATGTAACATAAATTTTCAGGATAGGCTTGAACCAGGAACATGAGTGAAACTACTGAAAAACTAGAGAGACTTCACCACCCTAACACGAGGCGACTCCATCTAAGACATGAAATTAATTGAGCAACTATTTTCTTATGGTAAAATAAATAAGCAACTTTACGAGACATATATGATCTTGCTCTGTAACTTTGGTATGAAATGCCTTTAATACACTTTGTTAACCAAAACCTTTTGTTGACAGTACATTCTTAAAATTGGAGAAGGGATTACTACAATTTGCATGAGTGGATTTGCTGCTTTGGATGTGCCACCACCTCGTGGTCCTCTTTGGTAAGTTATCCCTGCACTTACAGGCATCAAAGAGTGAATGCGGACTACTCCCATACTAATACATTACTCTAAGAAAAGATACAGAACTGTGTTAGTAAAAACAAATACAACACTTTCCACTACGTTTTCATGTAGCTATATGTGCTACTCCTATCCTAAAGTGATATTCATATCTGCATATGTACTTGCAGGATTCTCGGAGATGTATTCATGGGGGTATATCACACTGTATTTGACTATGGTAATTCCCGACTGGGTTTTGCTGAAGCCGTGTAATATCCTTTCTTTGTAATTACTTGCCACTAGTTACTTCATAGAATGATGGAAGTATTGTAAAGAGATGAATGATACTGCTATGTTATTGTGTTGTATCTGACCGTAATATGGCATACTAATCTTCTTTCTGTTGACTACTTCAAGTGCTACGTACTGACTGTTGTGCATGTCTAAATACTATATGCTTAGTAGCATTAGCTTGACTTGCTCCAATGACAAGTAGAGTCGATAAGACGCTATACATAATTCTTCCCTTGTTTCAATTTCGAACAAGTGGTGCAAGGGATTAGTTGATGTTTTGAACAATTTGGCCTAAAAAGATGGAACTATATATTCTGTTCTCCTATCAGGATATGATATACTGATGGTACCTCATCGCAAGTATACTCCAAACTGTCTACTGTTTGGAGTTCAAAGAATAATACTTTGAATAGATTATTAAGTCGAATGTGGTATGAGAATGTTTGTATAATTGTTTGAAATCATAGGTTTAAGTTTTTTGGGATGGACCAACTAAGAAAGCAGATTAATAACTTCCAAACTATTCTCATTAACTTAAACTTTAAATACTTGTTTTTTCAACGTCGACCAAATATCGTATAAACGCTTGCGATATCTGGGATGAAACATACAACAGCTATGCAAAATGTCAAGGACCGGTACAAATTCTACTGGAGACAAGTTCTTGTGAAACTGAAACAAGGGAGAGCAATCAATTAAATGACATTTGACAACATTCATTGAGCAATTGTTTGCTCTAATCCCTCTTTATAGGATTTGTATACGGTCAAAATCGAGGAGTATAATTTTGGAGTCTTAAATCGGGCTATAGGCTCGAGTCCGGGAGACTCGAGGTGTGGGGCAGATCAAGTTAAGGGACACCTACCTCGAGGAAGCTGGTTAAAGGCCTGACACGGCCTGCATCGAGGACAGCATAATCTCGAAGTCAATCAAGAAAGAGCGGGAATTTCTCAAGGACACGTGGATCTGGGCATTAATTATAGAATAAGGGTTGTACGAAATAGTACAGGTCCGTATTAGACCGTTATACACTTGTACCAATAGGATTCTTTACCTTTATGAGCAAGGTACTATATTGGTTTTCTCCTCCTATATAAATGGGACCCCAATCATTTTGTAAGCATAAGATAATTCACAGCAATAGAAAATTCTTATTCTTTTCTTGTTTAACGTGCTCAGCAATTACTCTTCAGCTTTATTGCCTTTACTTTATTGTTCATACTTTTTTCGGTCTTAGTTGACCTCGAGGTCCTTGGATAGACGAGCTCGAGGCCCCTACTATATCGACAACATTGATTTGGTTCATTATTTCTTCTTATTTAAGCTCAATATTACTTGTTTAATCACTAGTATTAAAATATATCACATATCTTTAAAATTACAAACCATCTTTAATTATTACTTACGTTTTTCGAGATAAACAGTTTGGCGCCCACCGTGGGGCTAAAGATAATAGTGACTATTTTAGTGCTAGTTTTCTGATAACACACGTTATTCTTCACACTTTTTCTTGTCAAAGATTTTTTGATTTCAAGTCAAAATATGTCTAGCACACAAAATGCACCTGCTCATGACATTGAAGGACCAGGAGAAAACAACGGCATTGGGCTCGGTGTACCACCTGTAAACCCTGAGGGAGTGCCAAACGTGGAGCCAGTTGATATCAGCTCCCACGACGCTCTAAACACGGAAGAGGGCATACACCCTGTAAGGAATGGACGCAGGGAAGTCCAGGCTGGAGGCCAGGAAACACGAGGACCGGAAGAAGGAGGAGTCAGCCTCCAAGTAATATTAGAGATGTTGCAAGCTCAGCAGGTTTCCATCGCTCAGCTTCAGAGTCAGAACATGACTCCTAACACCACCGAACCAGTACACACATAGCACGAACCTGTGCTTGAAAGGCCCGATGAAAGCGGCACGGGGACTGACCCCAAAATCATGAAAATGCTCGAGGAACTGACTAAAAGAATCGAGTCAGGAGAAAAGGGGATAGAAGACAACGATAAAAATTTGAAAACTTACAACTCCCGGGTAGACCAGATACCGGGAGAACCTCCAGTTTTGAAGGGCCTAGATGCCAAAAAATTCATACAAAAACACTTCCCCTCGAATGCGGCTCCGATGCCCATTCCCAAGAAGTTTTGCATGCCCAATATACCAAAGTACAATGGAACAACTGACCCTAATGAACGTATTACATCATACGCTTGTGGAATCAAAGGGAGTGACTTGAACGATGATGAAATTGAGTCAGTATTGTTAAAGAAGTTTGGGGAAACACTATTAAAAGGAGATATGATCTGGTATCATAACTTAGCTCCTAACTCTATTGATTCGTTTGCTATGTTGGCGGATGCCTTCGTGAAAGCACACATCGGGGCCATAAATGTGACCACAAGAAAATCGGATGTGTTCAAGATAAAGCAAAGGGACGACGAAATGCTAAGAGAGTTCATGTCCCGGTTTAAGATGGAAAGGATGGAACTACCGCCAGTCTTCGATGACTGTGCAGTTCAGGCTTTTATGCAAGGTTTGAATGAAAGAAGCTCGATAGAGTCTCGATGGCTAAAGTAAAACTTGATCGAGTACCCAGCTGTGATATGGCCAGATGTGCACAATCGGTATTAGTCAAAAATCAAGGTCGAGGATGACCAGTTGGGAGCCCCCTCGGGCTCAGTTCACCCAAACAGGTTCGCAACCAAGCCCCCAAGGGACACAGACCGGGGATCAAGATTCAATAAGGAAAGGTATCAACCGTACGTCGAAGACAGAAGGAACATTTCAAGGCATAATGCACCCCGGAGTGATCGAAGAGTAGATCGAGGCCAAATCTCCCAGGGATTCATGGGAAAAATCGGGTCCGACAGGCGCTCGGGACCAGTGGAGGCCCCCAAGATATCAGAATACAACTTCAGTGTCGACGCCTCAAGTATTGTCTTGGCCATTGGCAAAATTAAAGACTCTAGATGGCCCAAACCCATATAGATAGATCCTTCCAAGAGAAACACTAACGTAATGTAAGTACCATGGTACTCACGGGCATAAGCCCGAGGATTGCAGACAGCTTAGAGAAAAGGTAGCTCGACTATTCAACGAAGGACACCTTCGTGAATTTCTCAGTGATCAGGCCAAAAACCATTTCTGATAAAGAGACACAAACAGGAAGAATGAACCCGAAAAACCTCAACATGCCATTCATATGATCATCGTTGGAGCCGACGTCCCATAAGGGCCTACATTCAAATGCACTAAAGTGTCCATCACAAAGGAAAAATGGACTCGAATCTATGTTCCCGAGGACGCCCTATCATTCTGCGACAAGGAAGTAGAAAATATATCCTAGCCTCACAACGACGCCCTGGTAATCTCTATCATTTTGAATAAAATTCAAATTAAACGTGTTTTAGTGAATCCAAGTAGCTCGGAGAACATAATCAGATCGAGGGTTGTGAAACAACTCAGCCTGCAAGATCAGATTATACCTGCATCCCGGGTGTTGAATGGTTTCAATATGGCAAGTGAAACAATGACGGGAGAAATTATCTTGCCTATAAACGTAGCCAGGACCATACAAGACACCAAGTTCCACATCATCGAATATGATATGAGGTATAACGTACTCCTCGGGAGGCCGTGGATACACAATATGAGGGCAATGCCTTCGACTCTCCATCAGATAATGAAGTTCCCGACGGAGGAAGGAGTGAAAATAGTCCACGGAGAACAGCATGCCACAAAAAGAGATGTTCGCATTCAAGAAAGTGGTGCCAATACTGGAACTCCTAACCTCGGAGATATCGACCTCCAAAGCTAAGCAGGTGGCTAAGTAACAACCATAGCTCCGAGCCTCGACGAAAGCGTAACAATAGGTAATCGAAGGCGAAGAAAGGAATTCCCCAGATCCTCAAACCCTCGTTGTTCCTGAAAAGCCCGGTGCTACCGAGCCAACCGCCGAAAAGAAAGGTACACTTGGGGATAGGATTAATCCCTGCTCTCAGGATAAAACTCATTTAGTTTTGTGTTGATTATATAGATCGCATTACTTCGCCCCGTTTAAATATGACAGGGATTCCACTCAAGAATAAACAGGTGAAATAATTAAAGTTTATAGTACTGATACGACTAGATAAGTTTCTGTGCACAGGTGAAATCAACACTTTGGGGCAATACGACACGAAGCTTTACCTAGAGAAGCGTTCCCTCAGAGTTGATGCGGCTGAGTTTCTCGGCATTCGTGGTATCAAGCGGGGCATCAAAATCATCCCCGACCAGGGTCAGGGTTCTCGAAAAAGCCATGGTCGTGGATAGCAAGACCTCAGAATTGTTGATAAAGGATCTGACGGCTGGGCATGGTGGAAGCTCTCAAAGACTCATGATCTTGATAATATCCCTTTCTGCACAAAGGTCGTAGATCGTAAAGCATGCGTTGCACTCTTTTTTTCCTTAGCTCGGATTTTGTCCCAAATGGGTTTTACCGGCAAGGTTTTTAACGAGGCAACACTTATATGCTACCCGAGGAACGACCAATAAGTATTCAAGGCTTCTTTTCAATCAACCTCGAATACTTGGGGGCATCACCCTTGGAGGCTACATTTTTGGGAAAGATATTTCACGCCTAAGAGGGCCTCAATAGGGGAACTTTGTAATAGGCCATATAGAATAGTCGAGCTCGGTAATAGAACATGTGCGCATGTATCGACTATTTAAAGAAGCACTCAGGTTATATCAAAAATACTTTGTGTCTCATACAAGCTCTACACTTACAATCCTACGGTAGACAGCTTAAAAGCCAAAACATAGAAGCACCCCGAATACTTGGGGATTTCCATCGAAATTCGAATTAATAAGACCTCAAAGAGGCACTCAAAATTCGAATTAACAAGACCTCAAAGAGGCACCCCTTCAAATTATAGGCCAAGGCCAATATTCTCGGGGTTTAACTTCTCGAACAAGTTTGGAAAGTTATCGAGGAACAAGTCCAAGTGACATACCCAAAAGTTACGGCCATACAAAAGACTATGGTCATATAAAGGTTACAAACAAATAATGTGGCATGGAGACATCCGACTTCCGCTATAAATTAAAAGGCCTTCAAACACTTTGTAAAAACCGGTTAAATCAG